GCATCTGTGTATTAGCTCCCCTGTACTGCAAGAGGAAGCTTCTCTAATGATGGCTGAATGAGACACTGATCTAGGGATATAGCAGGGTATCATTATGAGTCATTCTATTTGAAGTCAATAGACATTTTTGTAAAAATATATTATACATTTACCCTAGTTCTCTAGCACCATTACTACTTAGGTACAGATCATGGCAATATACCATAAAAAAGGGAGCATGGAGTTCTTTTAGAAATGAAGTGCTTAAAAAGGAATATAATATGCAGACATTCACAGAAAGATAAATATAGAGTTGGACATCATATTAAAACAACACTGATAGTTATTTATGAGCTATCCAGAACTATATTTTCAATTGACATATAAGCATAGTTGTTAATTATTGAAATAATTATGTCAATGTTGGATAGAGGAGTCAATGTTGGAGGGCTATTTGTTTCCATCTAATATCACGATTCTGTCAAACAGGAACCAAAATAGGAAGTCCTTTAAAGAATTAGGTGTGGTGGATACTTATCTCTACTAATTCAAGATATAAGAAAATATAAAATTGTTTTAAATTGCATTTGTCTTCATTCAGAAGTTTTCTATTTGCATACTTTTCTTGTAGGTACAAATAGGGTAATTTTTATATTACTCAAACATGTAAACTAAATCATGAGTCATGATTTCAGTGAATCAACATCACTGGAGAAGAAATGAGGTCAGTTATTGTGTGGTATCCTGGTATAAATTAACCAATAGCTGTTTGTTTAATACGATGACATTTAGAAACAACCAACCCATCTCAATGAGTAGATATGATGTGAATTACGAAAGAAAGAGAAATTGAGATCAGTTTAAAAATGAAGAGGCCCCTTGTGTAAAGTATTAAGAAAACTCCTAACTGTTATGCAATTCGTGGGTACCTTCTAGAATACTTAGGAAACACCCATTTCAAGGACAATCAGTCAAGATCCACTAAGAAAACAGGAAGTTCACTAATTCTTTCCCATGCTGTTTGTATTTATTATTTTTTAAAAACTCATCCACTTCCATAGTATTTAAAATATTTAATCACATGACAAATAAACATTGAATTTACTTATGATTTGTTTCATTTATAAAATTATACATCTTTAATAAACCAGGCATATGTGTTTAATTTGAATATAATTCTTAAAGGTAAAAATACCAACCACCATGGAGATTGGAGAAAAACTTAGAGAAGCATGAGTTTAATTTTGAAAACACATGAAATTGAGTCAACTACTTCAGGAACACATTGTATGACTAATAGTATTCTGAACTGAAACATGCAGAAATCTTTAGGTATTAAAGGATAAGTCTTGCAGACATACTATTATGTTTCTTCATACATTATTTATGTAAAATGTATAATATTTTAAATTATACACACAAGGACTCAGGTTCATAAAGATCCATGTTAAGCTATTTGGGAAAAGAATAATATGTCAAGATTTTCATTTGATATTTAGCAAAGAAAATTTAGAAAGTGAGAGAAAATTAGAAATTGATTTAGCAATTAATATGATTTAAAAATTTTTATTTGTTTGCATTGCAAATATTAACAATCTAGTAGCATATTGCTAGCTATGTATTGCCTCATGTTGAGATAACCATAAGTAAGCAGTTTGGAGTTCTATTGGAAATGAAATATTTGAGCAAGAGAACATCCAGGAATTCTGATAAAGGTGAATTTGGAGCTTGATGTTGTTCTGTGGCCACAACAGTGGTCATTCACCTGACATCAAGTGTAAAATGAGAATGAAAGTAAATTGAATTTTCTTTTACAGTAGTTAGATCAGTGGAGTTAGGTAGATACAAGACTTAATATTCTTGGGCCCACTGGTTTCCCTTAAATATCATCATTCCTTATGCACAACTGTCAAGCAGGAAACAGAAGAAGTGGTTGTTTTGCCTCTATAATTATGGTAGATAGATATTTGTCCTTATTAAATCAATGTGTAAGAAAAAATATTAATGGAAATAGCATATGTCTTATAATATAACTGAACATTTTTCCAAAGATATGCTATATTCAAGTTTTCTTTCTTTTTTTTTCGAGACAGGGTTTTATTTCTTAATATATTTATTTTATATATAAAGAGCATGTATAGTAAATAACTATATCTTTTGAAATTTTTACATTTATATACTTCTCCTCTTAGGTACAGAGAGTAATGTTCATTTTGCTGAGTTATTTAAGATAAACTGATATGTCGAGTTGAAAGTGACTCAGCATTATTAAAGAAGAAATGAGGTCGACCAATGTGAGAGGACTAGTAGTCTAGATGACTAATAAAGATTTATGAGTTTGATTAGAGACATTTAAAAAAAATTATCTATTGTAATGAGTAAAACTATTGTGTAAGTTAGGAAAGAGATAAATTGAAACAACATTGAATGAATTCACAAACTAGTTAAGTTTAATAAATCAGCTAAACTGAAGAGAATGTTAACACACAATTTAGGGAGAAAGCAACACTGCAGAATATTAAGATAAATTTACAACTATTTGGTTTACTGATGACTTCTAGAAGAGTCAGGAATGACCTATTGGTAACATTACAAATCAGTTTCATTCAAGAAATCAGAAAACATACCAATGTGATCCATGCTGATTGTAGCCATTTTATTATTTACTCATTCACAAATATTACATTTTAATTATATTACTTATACAAAAAGGAATGTTCTTATTATTTCCAGAATTTATTAGTTCTTTGCTTTATATCCATCCTTCTCTCTTCGTAATATGCTGATCTTCAATTAACAACTCATTCATCACTGGGCATTTACATTATGCTTATTCTAACACTTTTACTGTCAGCTACACGTGTTAATACAGCCCTTGGGTGCAATTTCCTCAGGGACTTTCATGAATGAATCTTATTCTAATTTCTTCTGTTTTAATTACTTTCGCTTGTCTAGGGACCTGAATTAAACAATTTGAGTTCATTTAAATATTATCTGGTTTTATGTAGGCATGTGCACTATAAAATTTCCCCTTTCATCTTCTGCCCTACCTCATAGGATTTGGTGGACTGTACTTCCATCCTTCATTGATTTCAAGAAACTGTTTTACTTCCTTTTAAATTTCTTCCTTGGATTACTGGAAATATAAAATAATGTTTTCAAATTCTCTGTTTTTACACCTTGCAATGTTGCTAATGTTGAATTATTGTTTTAGTATGCTATGGTCATATACTGTGCTTTAATTTGTATCAGTTTATTGAGAATTGTTTCTGTGGTCCTATTCATGATATTTCCAAGGCGGTGTGCCATGTGCTGTTGAGAGGAATGTGTATCCTGTACCTGTTGACTGAAATTTTCTGTAACTATCTGTTTAGCCAGTTGAGTTTGTATTAAAGTCTTATGCTGAATTTTTGCCTGAGTGATCTTCCCATTGATTTTAAATGAGGGGTTCACATTCCAATTCTTACCATGGTAGAGTCTTTTATTCATATCCAAGGTTTGTGGAATATAATTGGATGTGCATTGTTATAGTGATTTCCATTTATCAAACTGACATTTTTGTAAATATGTAGTGATCTTAGAGGTCATATTTTACACGCTATAAGTTAATTCTATTTTTGACACTTATAAGTGTATCTGGTACTTAGAATATGCTTTTCTATATTTATTTTTCCAATATTCAATGCAAGTGTTTCTTACCTATGAAGTAATTTTCTTATATATAGAATCTCATGATTAGATGCTTGTTTGAATTAGATACTCTGTTCGATTTACTTAAGGAATTTGACATGTTAACACTAATTATATCGCTTGTTTGCGTATCTATCAGACCTTTCTTCACTCTTATTGCTTATTTTTTTTTTTTGAGTTGATGGTTGACTGGTAAAAGCACTACTGAAAGAAATATTTGGGTATATCTATGAAGGAATTTCCAGAAAAGATTAACTTCTCAGTTCTCCATGATATGGGGTCTCCCTCTCCCATGCTCCCCTCACATTCACTCCTACAGACTTTGCTTGCACTGATGGATATGACCCCTTCAAATCATGGGACAAAATGCATCTATAATACCAAAATCTGGATTTGGTTAAATACTCCATCAATGTGATGAAACATTAAATACCACAGGTAGCTTTTATAATGAAAGAAGTTCTCTAGATGATGCCTTCTAGAGTTATTTGAAAATTTAGAGCTTCAGCAGAATACTAAGGCACACAAGAAGACACAGGCAGCTCACATGTCAGTATCCAAGACCTGCGTGGGCAACCTTACAGAGATTGCTGATCTCAGGAAGGGTGGTCATGGTGTTTCCTTGAGAGCAAGGAATGCATATATACATGTTTCCATCTATTTCTCAAGGACTTTGTGGACAAAGATTAAGATTTCAAGCTATTCAGCTTCTTCTTGGGCTCATGAAAAGCCAGTGGACAGATAGGTAGAAGCAACTGGATGCCTTATGAGAGAACATCACTCAGGCAAGTCTGTTTAATTGTTTCCCGAGGGACATATGTAGGAGGAGGCACTTACCTATCTGCTTCTCAGGGCTTCTGCCAGTCAAGTTAGTTAGGTGCACTGTCAAGCTATTTTAGAAATTATATATATGTGAATACATTAATTGACATTCTCACAAAAAAAATCTTAAAAAAATGATACACATGAAATACTTCCAAACTGTGTAATTACTGCATCTTGGGTTCTGTGTTGAGAAGAAACCTTGCACTAAATCAGTATTCTTGCTACTACTCAAATCTCTTACAAACAGAAAAGTTATGCAAACAGTTAACTGACACCTAAATTTGCTTTATTGCAAAATGTGACATTAAACACTCATATGTAAATATGAAATAATTAATATTTGCTTTTACTATCTCCAGTCAGTTCCCAAGTTCAACGCGGTCATTTACTATATTTGCTTTAACCAACTTGGGTTATATTTTAACTCATGGCTTTTTCTTCTTAGATACAAGAATGAGCAATGACAAAAGGGAACACACTGTGAACAGAAGATTTGATTTCCCAGGATGTTTGTGAAGTGGATGTCTGTTCTGCTGCTCCTGCAGATGAGTTGCTACTTCAGACCTGGGAATTGTGGGAAGGTGTTGGTATGGCCGATGGAATTCAGTCATTGGCTGAATCTGAAGATAATACTGGATGAACTTGCACAGAGGGGTCATGAAGTGACAGTTCTGAGACCTGCATCTTCTATCTTTGTTGATCCCCAAAAATCACCTAGCCTGAAGTTTGAGTCTTATCACACATCTGTCAGTAAAGATGATCTGGAAAAGTATTTCAACAAGTTTGTGGAAGTATGGACTTACGAAGTACCAAGAGATTCATGTTTATCATACTCTCCTTTGCTACAAAACGTTATGGATGAATATTCTGATAAATTTCTAAGTATTTGTAAAGACACAGTTACAAACAAACAACTTATGACAAAACTACAGAATTCCAAGTTTGATGTCGTTTTCTCGGATGCCATTGGCCCCTGTGGGGAGCTGATAGCTGAACTTCTCCAGATCCCTTTTCTGTACAGTCTTCGATTCTCTCCTGGTTATACAATGGAAAAGTACAGTGGAGGATTAATACTCCCGCCGTCTTATGTACCTATGATTCTGTCTGGATTAGGTGGTCAAATGACATTCATGGAGAGGGTAAAAAACATGATATGTATGCTTTATTTTGACTTTTGGTTTCAGATATTTAATGAGAAGAAATGGGATCAGTTTTATAGTGAAACTTTGGGTAAGTTATGTTTCTTATCAGTAGCTTATTAGCCTAAATTTCACAAGCATTTAAATGTATTATGTCACTGAAATACAAAGTGAAGCTGTCTTTTATAGGTGATCCAATGTAATACGAAATTAGCTACCAAAATCACAAACCCTGTAAAAGCTCACAATATTGATCAAATAGAAGCAGGCAGCAGTCCTGACACAGGACATTCTGGTGAGCTAGACAGTTGCAGAAAGATGAAAGCAGACTTCCCTAAGTGAGTTTTTACTCACTTGACTGTTTATTTTAACAAGTCACTTGCTAGTTAACCAAATCTTGATTACTGTAGATTATAGGATGACGTATTTTACAGTTTCAATATGTATATGACATTCAAGAAAACACTGTCTTTTGCATAGGCCACAGTCTTTATTTAAAATGATAATGTGGGATCTAAAATCATGACAAAAGTTTAAGTGTTTCCTGTTCGTGTTGAGTACCTGATTTTTGTTCCTAGCACCCACCCAGACCCAGTGGCTCAAAATTGCCTGCAACTTCAGCTTCAGGGAGCTGCTGCCCTTTTATGGCATCTGCAGGCACCTGAATAATCTTACCACCTACTCACACAGACACATAAATAAAAATATAAATCATAAAATATTTTCTCTGTATTTTCTAGAGAATTCCCTTATTCTTGAAAGATACTATGCTAGTTCACAGGCTTAAAAATGGAAGTGAGGTTCCTGACAATGCCATATCCCTTATTGTGTAATTTCCTAAAATCCATTGTCTAAACACTACAGAAGCAGGGACACTGATGCACTCATTCTTTACTTTTTGAAGTCATGTTTTTTTCTCTTAAAAAATATGCCATAGTTAAGACTGGCCAAAAATTTCTATTCTCATAATTTCTGAAAATATTGATATTGTCTTTATAGGATTAGTACTGTTAGATTTCCTGATATGAAACAGAAGTAGAGGCACTAACCAGAAATTCAGATATTCATCAACTTTACAGCTTCTTTTGCAAAACAAGGAAGAAGGATTGGCTACAAACCACAGTGACCCTGGGGAAGTCTGGCCAGTGTACACAGTGTGGTGTGACTTTTGGACCTGAAATGAGTGCTTATATTTGCACTGTTCCTCTTGAAGATGTAGAGAGAAATAAAATGTGTGCTCATTCATATGGTGGCTTAGTGGGAGATTTCAATGACTATTTATTATTTCAAATTACTGAGGAGACATGAGGTAATTCTTACAGTTTGCTTTAAAAATAAACCCACACTGACATTTTTGTATATTATGTGAGCCACAAATCCATTACACATGCAAATAATGTTACATATTAATTAACACTTGTTCTTAAATGCACATGTTCTACATCAAATATTACTTCTTTTCATTTTTAAGAAAATGTATCGTATATTCAGATGACAATCCTGTCAACTTTTCCCTTCCTTGTGTGCTAATTTTCTCCATCTAGGAAGGCCCACTACCTTCGCTGAGACATTAAGCAAAGCAGAAATGTGGCTCATTAGATCCTATTGGGATCTGGAGTTTCCTCACCCAACTTTACCGAATGTTGACTATATTGGAGGACTCCACTGCAAACCTGCAAAACCCTTGCCTAAGGTAAATATGTTTTTGTAATCTCTTTTTCATTTGATTTAATTTCTGGTGAAAGTGATTCGACACTTCTCCTTACATAGTTCTCCCTGTGATAGAGATAGGAAGTAGAATTAAACATCCGGCTAACTAGGAGTTCAATAAACTCAGGAAAGAATGTGATAGACCTGGGAAATATTCCTATCATAAGTTAAATTAAGTCACTTAGGGTACTCTGTGGTTAGTCATTGGGTAATCCTTAGCAAGCAACTATGAGGATGTAAGTTTCAATCCAACACCCATGTAAAAATTTGGGTGACCCCACATATTACTATGGCATTAGTACTGAGGTTGCAGAAACAGGTTGATACTAGGAGCTTGCTGGCCACTAATCTGTTAAAAATGGTGAGATTTGTTTTCAATGTGAGACAGTCTCAAAAAACTATGTTAAAGATTGATAGAAAAAGACATCAGATTTTAACATTTGGCATCCATGTGCTAAAACAAAGGCAGGGAAGCAATCCAGCGCGCGCACACACACACACACACACACACACACACACACACACACACACATGCATTCATGCACGCTTACACACATAAGCATATACACATACACAAACACACACATGTGCAAAATGCACAAATGCACATATAAACTATTTCACAAAAGATACAGTAATTAAATTAGTTAAACTCATCACATCAGAAACTTGTCAATCTTCAAAAGCTATGATGAACATATATCCGAGGTAATTTTTTGATATCTAGAGAAACAACATAGACATAGTTTATATCTAACCAGTAAACTGCGGAAGTCATCTCTGAAAATATCCTAATTATGCACAATATCAGGAAATTATGAAGTATATGTTTACCATGAAAATATGATTATGTCACAAAGAACCAAGATGTTTTATTAATCATACTAGGAAGTTTGTGTTAACTACCACATACGTACATGCTACAACATAGATATTTCATCAAATACTAGTTCATAATATTAAATCAGCCATTAGAGGAGAAAAATGAAATAGAAAGGGAAAAATATCACCCTTTTTGTAGGGTGAAAACATGTCAATGAAGATATACTTTTATGAATACTTCATATATAATGCGTGCAATTCTGAGTTTTAATTTTGCCAGAGGAAAGTATCTAGAATGTTTGCAGCATAATGCGTGAGTACACTCTGTATTGATGCCAGTGAAATTGAACGTCTTTGACATTGCCATTTTTGTCTTCTGTATGTTCTGACACCACTATTCTAAAAATTCCTAGGAACACTTCAATATTTATTTTCCTAGTTTTCATATAGGTTTTATAAGTAACTTTTCTATAATTGTTATTTAGTCATGAAGCAAATTCTCATCACAGGAAATGGAAGACTTTGTCCAGAGCTCTGGAGAGCATGGTGTTGTGGTGTTTTCTCTGGGGTCAATGGTCGGAAACATGACAGAAGAAAAGGCCAATGCAATTGCGTGGGCCCTTGCCCAGATTCCACAAAAGGTGAGGTAAAGTGCTCCATGAGAGGCAACTGTATACTAAGTCTGTGAAAAGTCCTTGAAGGTCTGATTATGGAAATGAATGTGTGAAAGGTAAAGTTTTAAGAAAGCTCTAATCTACCTTAGCCACATTTAGAAACAGATATTCACAACAGATGCCACAAAGCTACAGAAGTTGTTTTTGACTGAGAGTGACTTGGATAAAACACTGTGACCACTGTGGGCACATTCTGAAAGCCTGGCATGATGATGACTTGCTATCCAGAGTATGTAGACAGCCAAATTCTTCAGAGTCGCTTGTTGTATTTATTGAATATTTAAAGTCACTGCATACATTAGATTTTGCAGGGGAGGGGAGAAGTTTTTTATTTATTATTTCTACCAGAGTAACAGTAAGCTGTAGGTGCAGTTTTCCTGTGCCTACCCAGCTTCTGCAGTGGCTCAGACCCAAGTAAACACAGAGACTTAAAAACTGTATGGCCCTGGCAGGCTTCTTGTTATCTAGTTCTTATATGTTAAAGTAACTCATTTCTATAAATCTATACCTTGCCACGTGGCTCATGGCTTACCGGGTGTCCTTACATCTTGCTTCTCATGGCAGGGGGTGGGGGCAGGGTGGGGTGTGAGGATTGGGGGCTGGCAGTGTCTCCTAACTCAGCCTTCCACTTCCAGAATTCTCCTCTCTGCTTATCCCACCTATACTATACTTCTTGCCCGGCTACTGGCCAATCACCATTTTGTTTATCAATCAATCAGAGCAACACATTCACAGCATACAGAAAGACATCCCCAGAAGTAAGCAGGTATTGAAAAAGTTGGGAATGTAGCATGACTCTACATCCTAACTTTGAACTAGGCCTCTTCAGTGTGCAGGATGAGAGGGTCATTTAACTCTCAATCAGAGTACATTTTTGGCTAATTGAGAGAAAGAGAATTAAAAAAAACTTTCATTCTAGCCTCGACTAGACTGCCAATATGTGTAGGAGAAGCAGATAAAGGAAAGGTAGAGATGGGAGCTTCCCTCACAGTGATCTCTGTCATCATAAAAGATGGAAGACAGGACCCTGCTTGTCACCAGTCAGAGTGAAGCTCCTACCATTCAAGGAAGAAATATGAAAATAAGAAAGAGTCCAGAGGAACCTAAAGTTTAAAAAAAAAGTTTCAGATGACTCATTTCATAAAGCATGCCACAAAGTAATTTCCTATGAATTAAATTTGTATACATTTATGAACATTATGAATATTTATGAACATTTTTGCCTTTTGTAGAATAGCCTCTCTTTAATCACTTACATTAATTTTTCAATCCTTTACATAATTTTATAAGTAACATAGCAAATTCATGTTAGTCATGTGGATAATGCTCCATTTTATGAGATTTTCTGAGAATTCTAACATTAGCTGCTATCAAAGGCTTTAGTTTGGGACTGGTTTTCCTGTCACAAAACATTTTGAACTCTGTAGGAAAATCTGCAGTTCATCATAAAGACTACATAACAATCAGTGAGAAATAAAGTAGTGTCATTAAATTTGGGGATATTTTTCAATACCATTACTTGGGAATAGCAAATTACTTACAAAAGACTGCAAAGAATCCTTGCAGAGATTATTATGCTCATCAATACCCAAATCAGTTCCAATTCAGGCCCCAAATAAGTTAATAATTTTAGAATGCCCTGATGAACCTCATAAAACAGAGCATTTACTACATGTTTAACATATATTTGCTACATTTAATGAACTTCTGAACTAGAGAAGTTCACTGGCTCGGTGTGTTAAATGTTTTCAGTCCAGTGTGATCAGCTCAGTTTAAGTCCCCAAAACCCATATCAAGTCAGAATCAATACTGTATGTCTATAGTGCCAACACTCCTATCAGAGATGAAAGGCAGAAAAAGGAGAATTCCTGTGGGCCAGCAGCAGAAAAAAGTATCAAACAATTTAATTAAGAGATTCTGTCTCCAATAGGAGAGACATCAGGATGAATATCTGAAGAAAGTAGTCTTCTCTATTCCACACAGTTCCATTGGAACTCTTAAACAGCATTCACACACTCGAATTGGCTTGTATATACGCCAACACATACAGAACACCCAGGAAGGGAAAGAGAGAATGAGATCGAGATGGGGGAAGATATTCCAAATCTCAATATTTTCAATAATTGTGGATTCACCTTCAAAATTCTACATGCAATTTTTCTTGCCATTATTGACTAGAGTTTGTTTACTGACATTAAGATTCTTAGAATCCTAAGGCAAAATTGATTTCTCATGAACAAACAATGATTACTTAGATTTGAATTGATGTGAATAAAAAAATGTGAACAAAACTTGTGCAGCTAAAAACAGAGCAAATCTGAACACGGAAAGGGGAGGTTGGTATACAATCCCACCCAAAGCCATGGAACTATTGACAATGATTAGCTTGTAAGAGAGGAAGAGAGTAGCTCCTGATAAGTCCATTGTTCTCTACTGGAAGACCACACATCCGAGAATATTTAGAGTGAACAATTGACCAATTGTGTGGGAAGATTCTTTTTTTAAGGATACCAAGTGGAGCGGATAGGCACAGGGGTGCTTTAGGGAAGATTTGGGTAGGGGAGTGAATATGATAAAAGCATATTACATGAAACTCCCAGAGAAATGAAAAAAATGAAATGTTAGTCTCACTGGATGTGGTCATAGTCATTATATGGACAGCAGATGGAGTTCCAAAGTACAGATAATGCAAGCATGTTCTGAGCCTGTTTGTCCACAGAAATTGCTCTACAAAGAACATATGTCGTTTTGGGTGAAAATGATACAGTAGGTTTAATGTCTTGTTTTAAAACCTGAACTGTCACCATTCCAAAGGTAGTGGCACTTGGAAGAATGGAGCCAATAAAATGAAGCAGATTAAAGTCTCATGCAATAGCCAACTTCATTCAGAGAACCTGACAACATATACTCTGAGAGTTAAGAAACATGAGTTAAGATCACATGAGTTGAAGCTGTATACAATCATAATGACAAGCCATGTGTGGCAAAAACATGTTTTCCGCGGAGGCACCTAAAGGACACTTTAAACATTCTCTGGATTACAATGGCAAGCAGTCGTGGCTAACCTGAAGTACACCCACTCCTGTCTGCTACACCTGGGAGGAGAGCAAAAACACATTCCAAGAAGTAATAGAATAGAAGATGAAATTAAAACAGTTTCCTATCCTTCCATAGTAATGCATAAATGAAATTTGAAAATCCATAGAGTTCAGTAACTCTCTTTAAAACTTATTGTTATTTAGGGGTAATATAATACAGCAAGACTCAAATCCATATACATGTTAACATTGGGTCCTCCCCTCATTTACTAATTGAGCGAGAAGGGTAATGTAAACAGTTAGTATTTTACGGCACTTATGGTGTAAATAAACCCATCCGGATGGCTCATTCTCTTGTGCTATACTACCTGTAGGAGACAATTCAGTGGCGAAAATAAATAGCTTTAAGGCAGCAAAGGATCCACACGATACACAAATGTCTCCTTCAGTTTCAATTCAAAAGCTGTAATTCTTACTTTGCCTCTCTAGATAAAATAAGGACTGTCCAATGCTGTCTCTCCTGTCAGAGATTTAATAGATTGGTAATTTAATAGTAGGCAATTAATATTCCCTAATAATGGTTGAAAGTCATTGTTGAGCTTTTTTTTTGTTTTTTTTTTTTGTTTTGTTTTTTTTTTTTGAGACAGGGTTTCTCTGTGTAGCTTTGTGCCTTTCCTGGGACTCACTTGGTAGTCCAGGCTGGCCTCGAACTCACAGAGATCCGCCTGGCTCTGCCTCCCGAGTGCTGGGATTAAAGGCGTGCGCCACCACCGCCCGGCTCATTGTTGAGCATTTTTAAATTATCGAGTCTAATGGACATTTGCGGGGGCAGGGGTGGTAGTTCTTAGCACTTGTTCTAGTAACTAGTTACCCTGAATATTACACAGTGCATGATCTTTGTACTTTTTGTGGTGTAATAATAAGCCCATTTTTATGCAGCACATCCTGAGTGATGTCATATATGGATCACAGCTCTTTCTCTTTGATGGTGACTAACTATAATGAATAATATTGAATGAACAAAAAAAAAGAAATAAAAAGAAAGGGAAGAATATGGCTGTTCCTAATTATGGTGGAGGAGAAGGTTTAGTATAGATATATGATAGCATAGCCAGAGGCAGGGATAGGGACAGAGAGAGTCCAGAGTGGTCGTGAACAAACTGAGCTGTGCCATGTGAGGAGAAGGGAGAGGGAAAGGTAGAGGGGAGAGAGGGGACCAGATGGCCAAAGGTACAAAAAAGAGCGGGCATACAAAATTGTTGGATTATCTAGGGAAGACCAGCACAGCCCTCTGGGCTGGAGAGTTCAGGAAAGGGGGCAGTGTATGCCAGCCAGAAGGTCCCTGTGACAGGTAGGGTCTGAGGGATTGAAGGGAAAACAGACAGCCAGGTCAGCCTTGAAATGTGAGATAGGCACCTCAGCCATTTGTCCCAGGTTTGAAACCTAACAAATGCAAGCCTGAGGAAGGGCCTCACTCACAAGCTCTAAAAGCTTTCCTACATAATATTGACACTTAATAGAGGATTTGTCATGCCTTGAGGTAATACAGTCCATTGATATCAGAGCTGAGGTTCTTTATGATTGAATGAGGAACAGAAAAGGCCAAATATACCTTATTATCAGGATGAATATGTATAATATAAAAGCAATCTTTTAAATGTCAAGCTATTGAAGGCCAATCTTTAACAATAGCTGTCTGCAGGTAAAACAGGCTGGCATTAACATTTCAGAAGTCAATCAACCATCTCCATTTACCAGATTGTGTTTTAATTACAAAAACCGGTGAATTCCAGGGAGAAAAAAGAGGGCTTTATGTACCCATTCTCCACTGTTCTCTGTCTAACTTGTGAAGACCCCATAACTTCTCTCTTAGAAACAGGCCATTAGGTATCCAGACGGGGTCACTAGATTTTCATATAATTTTGTCTCCTATGAAAAACCGAAGCCATGCTTATGATCTTATCCATGTGAGAACATAGGTTCACTAATCCCTTATAACTCTTTTCATAGTCCTTTTCATTTTTGATAACTCAATCTTTTCATCAGCAATTGCGATTGTGAAGAATGGGCAGCCTTAAAGGTGGGCATATAGATTTCTTCATGAGTTTGTTATAGAAAGTCTCTCAATCAGAATATAAGTAACATAAGGTTGGAGAACTTCCATTATGGCTCATGGGCCCGTCCACTGTAATTTGTAGCATTTTGTTTAATCTTGCTAGAGTTCATAGTTCCCAACTTTATCAGGGTTGAATTTACAAATCCATAACAGGTCATTCATGAGGCCATTATTCCATGGTTATAAGAGAAACATCAGTTCCATGACCAATTAATCTTGTAAACATTTTTCCTCTTATTTTTAAATCTAATAATTGTTTATCATTTTCCTTTAATATGGTGCTTAATGCTACAGTCTTTTCTGTACTACTGAATCCTCAATCACACAGCTAGGTTTTTTTTTTTTCATGTAGAAACTATACACAGTAAAATAACTGCAATTTTTTTCTCCTGCTTTAAATGGCCAATTAGTAGGCACTGTGATCAAGATGGCAATTTTACCTGTATAATCTTCATCAATGACTCTTGTATGAACTATGATTCCTTTCATGGATAAACTATTGCAACCCGATAAAAGTCTAACTGTTTGAGGTAGGATAGGACCCTCAACATGTTTCCCTATTGTTGACTGGTACTGTTATTGTTGTCAGGCAATTGTATTGCCATCCTTATCTTATTTAGATCAGCATTTCTAAAGCCAATGTTTTCCTTTCTTTCATATAGGGCATACCAGGAGCTCATTGATTCTGAACATTCAGTTTTTATAGGGGCAATTTACATTGCTTCTTTAAGTAGACACTCTGCTAACATCTGTTTTTGTGTAGCATAGATTACTATAGCAGCTAATTTTGCTCTATGTTTATAGATCCATACATTTCCGCATAACTTTAGAAAGTCCATAACATTTTCTATCTCTCTTTGAGGCTTGATTAATCCTTGGCAATCCTCATTGGCACTGATCAGAAGCAAACTGTTTTAATAATAACTCTTGAATTTGTTCTGCCTTTATTGATTTTTGAATAGCAACTTTGAGTCTCCCTATGAAGCTATCATAAGACTCAGAGGGACTATGCACATTTTTTAAAACTAGACCCGAAGTCAGATTCCATATCAGTGTCCAGGCTGCCATGACTATGATCATAAATTGTGGGAGAGCTGCAGGAGGCATATTATGTAGCTAATAATCTGTTATTGTGTAATAACTCTGTCATTATATCACATGCGACATTTCTAGGATTACCCCTCAGTCCTAGCTGTAGAACTTTTTTTGGGCTTCATCTGCAGGCCACACTTGCCACTGAAGAAGCTTGAAAGGGCCAAGAACCATTTTAACTATTATATGAAAATCATATGGCAATCATTGTGCATTATTGTTCCAACCAAAAATATATTCACAAGTACATAGAGCAGTAGGTATATAGGAAGTACAAGCCTTCTTAAAATCTTTCATTGTATCCATTCTAGTCCCTGATAAACATTTTGATTTTCTTGAAATTTCACTGGGAGTACCAAGCTCAGCTTGTGATGCCAGAGAATTGTTAAATAAATTCTTTTTTGATGCCATACCCTAGCTTATTTAGATTGTAAAGCTAGGTTTCTCATAGGCTCTCCTAAATCTCATCAAAACAATTGAGAGAATCCAAGATTAGATTTATTATCAGACCTCACCAGATGATTCAGGATATTCTTTAGGCAATACAGGAAACATCTTTAAAGGAGACTCCAATAAGGGAGCTGAGCGAGCCATCTCCTGCACAGATATCAGTGGTGCAATTTATCTACACTGGGAAAATCTTCTCTTGTTTTTTTCCTTTACCTTCGTTACCAATTTTCTGATGTGATCATCCAGTTTATATTCATGCAAGGAATTAGCCATCTCTTCCTCATGGTTAATAACTTCCTTATTTTTTATCTTCCTTAAGTATTTTAATAATAGTCAAAATCAATGCCCAAGTGACCCAAAATTGAATGGGAATCTTTTCTCCTCATTTATATGCCTTTTATATTCAATCAGACTCTGTCCCACACTTCTTCATCTGAAGAACCTTCTTCTGGAAACTAGGAATTATAGTCACCAGAAATTTGTACAGACTAACACAGACTAATACCTGTGATTCTGTGCACCTCCCTTCTTTAAAAAAAAAAAAAAAAGAATGCACAAGCCTCAACAAAAGGCAAAGCCTTCCTTGGTTTCTGCCCCATTTTTCTTATTCACCTCCTTCTGTGAGGGTTCCCCCTCTCCTATCACGTAGCCAATTTCAGCTGCCTGTTTAGAAGCCATTTAAAACAACTCCAGAGACAGTGGGTCTTGGGAGAATGGAGCTGATAAATGGGGCAGACTAAAGTCTCATGCCATAGCCAATTTTATTCAGAGAATCAGACAATGCATACTCTGAGGGTTAAGAAAGGTCACATGAGCAAAGATCACATGAGTTGAAGCTGTATATAATCAAAAGGACAAGTCATGTATGACAAAAAAATCAAAAAACAAACTAACTAACAAACATGTTTTTCCATAGAGGCTGTCTTAGATGGGTTTTTATTGCTGTGAAGAGACAGCATGACCACGGCCACACTTATAAAGAAAACATTTAATTATGGTGACTCAATGACAGTTTCAGAGAATCAGTTCATTATCATCATGAAGGAGAGCATGGCAGCATGCAGGAAGACATGGTGATGGAGGTGAAAGTGTAACATTCACATACAACAGGAACTCCACTGACAGTCAAACTGAGGAAAGCTTAAGCAAAAGAGACCTCAAAGCCGACCCCTTAAGTGACACACTTCCTCTAACACAGCCACACCTCCTAATAGTGCCACCTGCTTAGGTGGCCATTTTCTTGCAAACCACCACAGAGTCACAAAAAGGACAGTTTAAACATTCTCTGGATAACAACAGCAAGCAGCAGTGGTTAACCTGAAGTAGACCCACTCCTATCTGCTACACCTGGGAGGAGGGTAAAAACACATGCCAAGAACAATCACGTGTTTTGAAGAAATTGAGGTCACAAGACCCTTGTTCTGTTTTCTTAGAGTGTTCTCTAAAGCACTCAGAATTCTCATGTGACTCCATTCCAGGACAATGTTCCATCTCTACACTATGCAAGGTTACTTCAGGATGGGTCAGATGACTCCATATTTATTGGCCAACATGATGGCATTGTTTCAAGAACTACAGACCAGAGAGAATTGTGGAACAGAAATATTTGTCATGAATGAATAATCAAGGACAAAAACTTGAAATTCATTAAAAATAACATGGAAAAAGTGAATTAAAGTAAACTCTAAAGCATTTACAATATAATGATATTTAAACTAGACTATCAAACTATCAAAATATATTTATTAAAATATAAATTATTAGTAATGTGCTACTCTTTTCTGAAATTGAATTATATCAACATGGCAGTGTATTAAATATTTTCATGCATCATCAACCATCTCATTTGTCTAAAGATCTCTGCTTGGAAAATGATGATGATGTTCATCCTGTCTGAATGGAAAAATAATCACAGAGACTGCTGACACATTCTTCGTCTCAGTCTCTCAATAGTTCTCATTTCTCACCTCCTCTGATTTCTCCATCCCTCCTATGGGAGGTATTCAACTATGTTATATCTAAACTTAAAAGGTTCTATTTTGATTATTTCTGTTTTTGAAATTATAATACAATTACATCATTTTTCCCTTTTCATTCCTCTCTCCAAACCCTCTCATATCCATGTTCCTTGCTCTCTTTCAGATTCATAAATATTTTTTCATTGTTTTGGTTACATACATATATGCATATGTATACTCACATATTCCTAAATATAACCTGCTCAGTCTGTGTAATATTAAATTTGTCTCCAGCAATAAAGATTATCTAACACTTAACAGGTTCTTTGGAGATTTGATGGTAAAACACCGGACACCTTAGGACCCAATACCAGAGTCTACAATTGGCTCCCCCAGAATGACCTTCTAGGTAAGACTCTGAAAAAACAAACCTATCCTAGTTGACTTCAAAATCCCTTATACTACACTTAGTGATTGTATTGTTTATTTAAGATAACAAGTTCTGGTGTGTACTTGGTCTTTTTTAACACCCATTTCCTCTTATCTACCATGTGCTCCAAGTGTTTAAGTAGAAATCAGTATTTCATAGTTCAAGTCTCAAGTCATAAACCAATCTGCAAACATCTCTCTGTAAAGTTAGTATCTTCTTGCTCTAAACAGGAAAACATTTCACTCAGGTTATGAGTATAGGAATCTTCATGTAGGTTTTCTTGTGATAAGGAGAGAGCAAACTAAATAAATGATGTAAACTAAATAAACAAATTTAATTAATTAAAAAAAATATTCATGCAGAAAATCTCCTTTCAGTTCCTGATAGTATACATTTCTCATTTCATGTCTAAGTCTGTTAATTAATGCTAACCAGAATTCATCTTATTCTAGGTCATCCAAAAACCAAAGCCTTTGTAACTCATGGTGGAGCTAATGGCCTCTATGAGGCGATCCATTTTGGAATCCCTATGATTGGCATTCCTTTGTTTGGAGAACAAAATGATAATATTGCCTACATGGTGGCCAAAGGAGCAGCTGTTGCATTAAATATTAGAACGATATCGGGGTCAGATTTGCTCAATGCACTGAAGGCAGTTATAAACAATCCTTCGTGAGTATAACATTTTAATATGTGTATATGTTATTTATTTATTATTCATTATCCTTCTTACTGAAGACTAAAGGAGCAACAATTTTCCTGAAGGCAAAAATAATGGTAGTTACAGAGACAAATTAGGGCATGATTCAGTCCATTGGTGTTTCTCTTTCTGCTTTACACAAATACGCAAAAACCAGGGATTTTTTTTCTACTAACACCTCCCAACACTAGTATGTACTTTGTACACAAAGTTATTAATAATTACTTATGGATAACTGAAGTTTTATATAATCAAATAATATCTCATTTTGATATATTTTGTATTTAAGGTTTAGCTGTCTCCAAACTCCACCTTAGGAATATTTGATCTTTTCCCATTTTTCCTTTGCTATGATTAATCTTTTTTTTTTCATGTGTTATCTTAGTACTTCTTTTTTTTTATTTTAATTTATTTTGCAATACAATTCAGTTCTACTTATCAGCCACGGATTCCCTTGTTCTCCCCCCTCCCGTCCCCCTCACCTTCTCCCCAACCCCCCCCCCATTCCCATCTCCTCCAGGGCAAAGCCTTCCCCACAGACTGAGGTCAACCAGGTAGACTCAGTCCAGGTAGGTCTAGTCCCCTCCTCCCAGGCCGAGCCAAACAATCCTGCAAGGGCCCCAGGTTTCAAACAGCCAACTCATGCAATGAGCACAAGATCTGGTCCCACTGCCTGGATGCCTCCCAAACAGATCAAGCCAATCAACTGTCTCACCCATTCGGAGGGCCTGATCCAGTGGGGACCCCTCAGCCATTGGTTCATAGTTCATGTGTTTCCATTCATTTGGCTATTTGTCCCTGTGCTTTATCCAACCTTGGTCTCAACAATTCTCGCTCATATAAACCCTCCTCATTCTCACTAATTGGACTCCCAGAGATCCACCCAGGGCCTAGTCATGGATCTCTGCATCCAGATCCCTCAGTAGTTGGATGAGGTTTCTAGCACAACAATTAGGGTGTTTGGCCATCCCATCACCAGAGTAGGTCAGTTCGGGCTGTCTCTCGACCATTGCCGGCAGTCTGTTGTGTGGGTATCTTTGTGGATTTCTGTGGGCCTCTCTAGCACTTTGCTTCTTCCTATTCTCATGTGGTCTTCATTTACCATGGTCTCCTATTCCTTGTTCTCCCTCTCTGTTGTTGATCCAGCTGGGATCTCCCGCTCCCCCAAGCTCTCTCTCCCTCGACCCTCGCCTTTCATTACCCCCACTCATGTCCAAACTGTTCATGTAGATCTCATTCCATTTCTCTGTCATTGGGCGATCCCTGTGTCTTTCCTGGAGTCCTGTTTTCCAGGTAGCTTCCCTGGTGATGTGAGTAGCAGACAAGTCATCCTTGTTTCATGTCTAGTATCCTGCTATGAGTGAGTACATACCATGTTTGTCTTTCTGAGTCTGGGTTACCTTACTCAGGATGATTTTTTTCTAGATCCATCCATTTCTCTGCAAACCTCATGATGTCATTGCTTTTCTCTGCTGAGTAGTATTCCATTGTGTATATGTACCACATTTTGTTTATCCATTCTTCAGTTGAAGGGCATCTAGGTTGTTTCCATGTTCTGGCTATTACAAACAATGCTGATATGAACATAGCTGAACAAGTGCTCTTATGGTGTGGTTGAGCATTCCTTGGGTATATGCCCAAGAGTGGTATAGCTGGATCTTGGGGGAGATGGATTCCCAATTTTCTAAGAAAGCGCCATATTGATTTCCAAAGTGGTTGTACAAGCTTGCATTCCCACCAGCAGTGGAGGAGAGTTCCCCTAGCTCCACATCCTCTCCAGCATAAGGTGTCTTCAGTGTTTTTGATCTTAGCCATTCTGACAGGCATAAGGTGGTATCTCAGAGTTGTTTTGATTTGCATTTCCCTGATGATTAGTGATGTTGAGCAATTCCTTAAATGTCTTTCAGCCATTTGAGTTTCCTCTGTTGAGAATTCTCTGTTTAGTTCTATAGCCCATTTCTTAATTGGACTGTTGGGCATTTTGATGTCTAATTTCTTGAGTTCCTTATATATTCTGGATATCAGTCCTCTGTCAGATGTGGGGTTGGTGAAGATCTTTTCCCATTCTGTAGGCTGTCGCTTTGCCTTGTTGACCATATCCTTTGCTCTACAAAAGCTTCTCAGTTTCAAGAGGTCCCATTGATTGATTGTTTCTCTCAGAGTCTGTGCTACTGGTGTTCTATTTAGGAAGTAGTCTCCTATGCCAATGCGTTCAAGACTACTTCCTACTTTCTCTTCTAGCAGGTTCAGAGTAGCTGGATTTATGTTGAGGTCCTTGATCCACTTGGACTTAAGTTTTGTGCACGGTGATAGATATGGATCTATTTGCAGCCTTCTACATGTTGATATCCAGTTTTGCCAGCACCATTTGTTGAAGATGCTTTCTTTTTTCCATTGTGCACTTTTGACTTCTTTGTCAAAAATTATATGTTCATAGGTGTGCGGATTAATGTCAGGGTCTTCAATTCGATTCCATTGGTCCACATGTCAGTTTTTATGCCAGTACCAAGCTGTTTTTATTACTGTAGCTCTATAGTAGAGCTTGAAGTCAGGGATCGTGATGCCTCCAGAAGTTGTGTTATTGTACAGGATTCCTTTGGCTATCCTGGGTTTTTTGTTTTTCCATATGTATTTGAGTATTATTCTTTCCAGGTCTGTGAAGAATTGTGTTGGTATTTTGATGGGGATTGCATTGAATCTGTAGATTGCTTTTGGTAAGATTGCCATTTTTACTATGTTAGTCCTGCCTATCCATGAGCATGGGAGATCTTTCCATTTTCTGACATCTTCTTCAATTTCTTTTTTCAGGGACTTAAAGTTCTTGTCATATAGGTCCTTCACTTGCTTGGTTAGTGTTACCCCAAGGTATTTTATGTCATTTGTGTGGCTATAGTAAAGGGTGATGTATCTCTGATTTCCTTCTCCGCTTCTTTGTCCATTGTATATAGGAGGGCTACTGATTGTTTTGAGTTGATCTTGTATCCTGCTATGTTCCTGAAGGTGTTTATAAGCTGTATCAGTTCCTTGGTGGAATCTTTGGGGTCGCTCAAGTATACTATCATGTCATCTGCAAATAGGGAAAGCTTGACTTCTTCCTTTCCAATTTGTATCCCCTTAATCTCCTTATGTTGTCTTATTGCTCTGGCTAGAACTTCAAGTACTATATTGAATAAGTATGGGGAGAGCGGACAGCCTTGCCTCGTTCCTGATTTTAGTGGAATTGCTTTGAGTTTCTCTCCATTTAATTTGATGTTGGCTGTTGGCTTGCTGTAAATTGCCTTTATTATGTTTAGGTATGTTCCCTGTATTCCTGATCGCTCCAATACCTTTATCATGAAGGGGTGTTGGATTTTGTCAAATGCCTTTTCTGCATCCAGTGAGATGATCATATGGTTTTTTTCTTTGAGTTTGTTTATATGGTGTATTACATTGACGGACTTTCGTATGTTGAACCACCCTTGCATTCCTGGAATGAATCCTACTTGATCATGGTGGATAATTGTTTTGATGTGTTCTTGGAGTCTGTTTGCCAGTATTTTATTGAGTATTTTTGCATCAATGTTCATGAGGGAGATTGGTCTGTAGTTCTCTTTCTTTGTTGTATCCTTGTTTGGTTTAGGAATTAGGGTTAATTGTAGCCTCGTAGAAGGAGTTTGGTAATGTTCCTTCTGTTTCTATTGTGTGGAACAATTTAGAGAGTATTGGTATTAACTCTTCTTTGAAGATCTGGTAGAATTCTGCGCTGAAACCATCTGGTCCTGGGCTTTTTTTGGTTGGGAGACTTTTAATGACTGTTTCTATTTCCTTAGGGGTTATTGGGCTATTTAAATAGTTTATCTGGTCTTGATTTAACTTAGGTATGTGGTACCTATCCAGAAAGTTATCCATTTCTTTTAGGTTTTCCAGTTTTGTTGAATAGAGGTTTTTGAAGTATGACCTGATGATTCTCTGGATTTCCTCAATGTCTGTTGTTATGTCCCCCTTTTCATTTCTGATTTTGTTGATTTGGATGCTCTCTCTCTGTCTTTTGGTTAGTTTGGATAAGGGCTTGTCTATCTTGTTGATTTTCTCAAAGAACCAACTCTTTGTTTCATTAATTTTTTGTATTGTTCTCTTTGTTTCTATTTTATTGATTTCAGCTCTCACTTTGATAATTTCCTGGCGTCTACTTTTCCTGGGAGACTGTGCTTCTTCTTGTTCTAGAGCTTTCAGGTATGCTGTTAAGTCTCTAGTGTGAGACATCTCCAACTTATTTATGTGAGCATTTAGTGCTATGAATTTCCCTCTTAGTACTGCTTTCATAGTGTCCCATAAATTTGGATATGTGGTGTCTTCATTTTCATTGATCTCTAGGAAGTCTTTAATTTCTTTCTTTATTTCTTCCTTAACCCATTGGTGATTCAGTTGGGTATTATTCAGTTTCCATGAGATTGTAGGTTTTCTGTAGTTTTTGTTGTTGTTGAAATCCAACTTTAGACCATGGTGGTCTGATAGAACACAGGAGGTTATTCCAATTGTTTTGTATCTGTTTAGATTTGTTTTGTGGCCAAGTATGTGGTCAATTTTAGAGAAGGTTCCATGGGGTCCTGAGAAGAAGGTATATTCTTTTTTGTTAGGATGGAATGTTCTGTAGATATCGATTAAGTCCATTTGAGTCATGACATCAGTTAAGTCCTTTATTTCTCTGTTAAGTTTCAATTTGGGAGATCTGTCCAGTGGTGAAAGTGGGGTGTTGAGGTCTCCCACTATTAATGTGTGGGGTTTTATATGTGATTTAAGCTTTAGTAATGTTTCTTTTACATATGTGGGTGCCCTTGTGTTTGGGGCATAAATATTCAGAATTGAGACTTCATCTTGGTGGATCTTTCCTGTGATGAGTATGTAATGCCTTTCTTGATCTCTTTTGATTGATTTTAGTTTGAAGTCTATTTTGCTGGATATCAGGATGGCTACACCCGCTTGTTTCTTAAGACCGTTTGATTGGAAAGTCTTTTCCCAGCCTTTTATTTTTAGGTAGTGTCTATCTTTGAATTTGAGATGTGTTTCTTGTATGCAGCAGAAAGATGGGTCCTGCTTTCATATCCATTCTGTAAGCCTCTGTCTTTTTATAGGTGAATTAAGTCCATTGATATTGAGGGAAATTAATGACCAGTGATTGTTCATTCCTGTTATTTTTTGGTGGTGATGTGTGTGTACTTCTATACGTTGGGGTTTACTGCTGTGGCTTTATCTGTTGCCTGTGTTTTCGAGGGTGTATCTGACTTCCTTAGGTTGGAATTTTCCTTCTAGTGCTTTCTGTAGGGCTGGGTTTGTGGATAAGTATTGTTTAAATCTGGCTTTGTCATGGAATGTCTTGTTCACTCCATCTATGGTGATTGAAAGTTTTGCTGGGTATATTAGTCTAGGCTGACATCCATGGTCTCTTAGTGTCTGCATTACATCTGTCCAGGTTCTTCTGGCTTTCAAAGTCTCCATTGAGAAATCGGGTGTTATTCTGATGGGTTTGCCTTTATATGTCACTTGGCCTTTTTCCTTTGCTGCTCTTAATATTCTTTCTTTATTCTGTACGTTTAGTTGTTTAACTATTATGTGGCGAGGGGACTTTTTTGGGGGGTCTAGTTTGTTTGGTGTTCTATAAGCTTCTTGTATCTTCATAGGCATTTCCTTCTTTAAGTTGGGAAAATTTTCTTCTATGATCTTGTTGAATATATTTTCTGTGCCCTTAAGTTGGTATTCTTCTCCTTCTTCGACCCCTATTATTCTTAGGTTTGGTCTTTTCATGGTGTCCCAAATTTCTTGGACATTTTGGTTCATGACTTTGTTGGCTTTAGTGTTCTCTTTGACTGATGAATGCATTTCTTCTACTGTATCTTCAATGCTAGAGATCCTCTCTTCCATCTCTTGCATTCTGTTGATTATTCTTGCATCTGAAGTTCCCAATCGTTTTCTCAGATTTTCTATTTCCAGCATTCCCTCTGTTTGTGTCTTCTTCATTTTTTCTATTTCCCTTTTCAGGTCTTGGACTGTTTCCTTCATTTGTTTCATTGATTTTTCTTGATTTTCTCTCAGTACTTTATTGTTTTCTTCCAGGACTTTATTGATTTCTTCTAATTTGTTTGCCCTTTCCTCTAGTTGTTTACAGCGTTCTTCACATTTTTTTGTCTTTTCCTCTACACAAGCCTCTAGCTTCTTCATTATGTCATTCATAAGGCTGTTTTCTTCTGCTTCTTCCAATTTCTGATGTTCAGGTCTAGGTGTTGGAGGAGGGCTAGGGCCTGGTGATGCTGTATTGCTATTCATTTTGTTGTATATGTTTCTGCCTTGACGTCTGCCCATCTCCTTGTGGTTTGTTCTTGGCCTTATCCGCACACTTGGTTCAGACAGACCAGTGTTCCAAAAGGGAAGTCCAGAGCAAGATGGGAGCTGGGGGCCGGCCTCTAAGTCTCAGGAAGAGGCTTGGGGCTCAGGCGGATGGGCGTGGGGGCAGGGCGTGGAGACTGCAGGGACTGCCAGGGGTCTTGGGGAAAGGGATCTTTCCCAGTGGGGCTAGCAGGGAACCTGCCCAGTGGCCAGAACCTGGGGCCAAGTTGGGCAGGTCTTCCCTGGAGTGGCTGGTGCCCAGGGATGGGGTCCGGGGCAAGGAAGGGCACTCACCAGTGTTCCAAAAGGGAAGTCCGGAGCAAGATGGTCGCTATGATTAATCTTACATGCTCAAGGAGCTCAGACATGCCTCTGAAGATCTTCCTAGTCATGGACAGAAAACATAATTAATTTTCCTTCTACTTTTGTGTAATTATCTTTATTATCTACACAAAAATTACACACATGCATTTTTTATTCATTATGTAAGTTGATGTGAATTTTACTTCTTTCAGCTATAAAGAGAAAGCTATGTGGTTATCAACCATTCACCATGACCAGCCCATAAAGCCCCTGGACAGAGCCGTCTTCTGGATTGAGTTTGTCATGCGCCACAAAGGGGCCAAGCATCTGAGGCCACTTGCCTATAACCTCACCTGGTACCAGTACCACTCTCTGGATGTGGTTGGATTCCTACTAGCCTGTGTGGCAGCCTTGGCTTTCTTTACCATAAAATCCTGCTTATTCATTTATCAAAAGTTTTCGAAGATGGGAAAGAAAATGAAGAATGAGTAGAGCTCATTGAGAATGTACTACATGAACTAAATTTCAGCATCACTGTAATTTATGAACTGCCTTCCAAATATTCACTGATTAATTTATCAAGTCATATCTTCTTTGGAGAGAGGAAAGGGAAGGGAAAAAATAATGTAATTGTATTATAATCTCAAAAACTAAAAGACATAATAAAAATGAAAACCCTGAGCAAGCTATAAGGAACAACCTAGTAAGCAGAGTCCCTCCATTACATCTGCTTCAGTTCTGCCTTCTGATTCGTGTCTTTAACCTCTGACCTACTTTTCCTCAGTAATGGACAGGGAGCTATGAGATGAAATAAGCCCTCCCCTTTCTCAAATAAAAATGATTTTTTAAAAAATTCAAACAAAGGAGAGGCCTGGGCCTGGGCAGAGGCAGGCACCACTGTGATGAGTAAATACGTGGTGGAGAGATAGGAGAGAAAGAGAAGTGGAAGCAGTTTGTGCTCTTCGAAGGGAGGCAGAACTGCAGACGTGAAGGCAGCAGGGAACAACCCGATGTCAGAGGCCTGCACTGCCACCTGAGGCCACGGTGATACCTGTGATGCCACAGAGGGCCATATCTGGGTCCGTGGACTTTCTGTATCAGGGGTCTGTGTCAATGTCCATGGTGATGTGGACCTCCTTGGTCTGGGCTGCCATTTGAGGTCATGTTAATGTCTGAGTACTGTGCTGAGCGGGTCCAATCACTCACCAGCCACCACACTGTAGCATCAGAGGTGACATGAACACTTGCCTTTGCACTGTGGGAGAGCTGGCCCCCTATGCCAGTGTAGAAGAGCTGACCTCATGACTTAGTATGGGAGAGCTGGCCCCCTATGCCGGTGTAGAAGAGCTGACCTCATGACTTAGTATGGGAGAGCTGGCCCCCTATGCCAGTGTAGAAGAGCTGGCCTCATGACTTAGTATGGGAGAGCTGCCCCCCTATGACAGTGTAGAAGAGCTGGCCTCATGACTTAGTATGGGAGAGCTGGCCCCCTATGGCGGTGTAGAAGAGCTGACCTCATGACTTAGTGTGGGAGAGCTGGCCCTCTATGACAGTGTAGAAGAGCTGACCTCATGACTTAGTGTGGGAGAACTGGGCCCCTATGACAGTGTAGAAGAGCTGGCCTCATGACTTAGTATGGGAGAGCTGGCCCCCTATGGCGGTGTAGAAGAGCTGACCTCATGACTTAGTGGGGGAGAGCTGGCCCCCTATGGCGGTGTAGAAGAGCTGACCTCATGACTTAGTGTGGGAGAACTGGGCCCCTATGACAGTGCAGAAGAGCTGGCCTCATGGCTTAGTGGGGGAGAGCTGGCCCCCTATGCTGGTGTAGAAGAGCTAACCTCATGACTTAGTGGGGGAGAGCTGGCCCCCTATGGCGGTGTAGAAGAGCTGGCCTCATGGCTTAGTGGGGGAGAGCTGGCCCCCTATGGCGGTGTAGAAGAGCTGACCTCATGACTTAGTGGGGGAGAGCTGGCCCCCTATGGCGGTGTAGAAGAGCTGGCCTCATGGCTTAGTGGGGGAGAGCTGGCCCCCTATGGCGGTGTAGAAGAGCTAACCTCATGACTTAGTGGGGGAGAGCTGGCCCCCTATGGCGGTGTAGAAGAGCTGACCTCATGACTTAGTGGGGGAGAGCCATTCTGTTCCTCATCTTGGCAGTGCAGCAGAGCTGGCCCTGTTGGTATGGATGTAGAAGAGCTGGTCCTGATGATGTGAGCACAGGAGTGGCAGCCCCATCCTTCATCTGTACATTATGGGAGAGCTGGCCCTGGTGACATGGGCAAGGGAGAGCTGGTGGGCTGACCAACTCAGCCACCACCCAGGCCTAGATCTGTAGCTTTGAGCTGACTCACCCCAACACCTACCCCATCTAGGAGCTGCTGGAGTTGATGAAGGGCCTGTTCCTGCAGAACCAAAGTTGGAGGAGCTCCATGACACAGGGCAACAACAGGATATCTTACAGGAATCTCAGTAGGATCCAGCTCCAATAGCCAGAAGCCTCGAACCAGACCATTGACACTTTGCAATGAACATTTTCAAGTAAAGCTGTTTGTACAAAAGAGTATAAGGTGTGAGACACCATGGCACACTGCAGCTTCTCCCATGAGACCTTTTGTAATTTTTATTTTCTATTTTCTTTTATGGAGGAGGTTACAGGGGTGGAAGACAGATATGGAAGGACTGGGAAATGAGTGGGATTGGAGTGCATGATTTGAAATTTCCAAAGAAGCAGTAAAAAGTTTATGGGAAAAATTCAAACAAACAAAGAAATAATGCTTATTCTAAAATTAAATAATAGTGTGAAAAAAATGCAATGAATAATGATCTCATTCTGACCTCTCCTCTCAAATTCATAATAGTCATGATTACAGTTGGATGTTGGGTAATTACATGTATGTGAGGTAGTTGGTTCAATGATTAATTTAAAAACAATAACTGAAAAATTTATATGTCTTATCATAATATCCTACTGATGATTGTCTCAGAACAGAAAAGGCAGACAATGTTAAGTGGAGTTAAAGAAAAGAATGAAATTGTATTGTAAAAGAGGTAGAAAATGTAAATAAAATGAACTGTCTTTTTATCAGAATGCCGAACAAGACAAAGTTCTATATTTAATAAATTTGGAAATACACTATCTGACAAACATCCTTCCACAGTTAGCATTTCTTCAAATATCAAAGTTCATGGTTAAGGTTAAATGTTGCTCTTAAAATTACACTTTGCTCATCAGCTGTACCGTTTAGAATTAGGCAACCAAATAAGAGTGAAGATACAGAGGGCATAGACAGTGGGCTGTGAGGACCTCAGCAACTAGCATGCCCACACAAGATTTGTCTTTTGAGTGCACTCAGCATATTCACACAAACATTTCTTTTAATGTCATGTTAATAAAAGTCAAACAGAAACCTCACCAAGCAGGGAACAGTTGCCAGGCAGAAAATGCTGCTGCAGGTTTCCATTGGGAAATCTCCTCCCATGAGGATGCTTAGGAAGCATGCCATGGTGTAGTCCTTCATCTGTGTCAGGTCAGCACATGTGAGGGTCCAGAAGGTCCCTGAGAGCACAGGTGGACATGTGTGAGCTTATCACCAATGCTGGAAGTGCAATGGTAACCAAAGTTAGGGTCACACACAGAGGCCAGTTTCAAAGTCCTCTTGCAGATGAGTATCAACACAAAGGCTCAATAAGCTGTTTCTCAGAAGGAGCACAGCATATGATCCAAGGAGCCACTTCCAAAGTTGCAAGGCTTGTCTATTTTCATTTTGCCTTAGCTTTGTGCTATTAAGGGTCACAGCTTACATCTGATTCACTCACATATCAGTGCAACCTTGTGGTTAGTTCATTAGCACATTAAGGCCTATTTTTAGCTTGGCTCTATCTGGGCTGCTTAGTGGCATCTCTCCTGGGACTGGAATTACAGATGGTTGTGAGACACCATGTGGTTCCTGGAAATTGATCTGGGTCCTTTGGAAGAGAAGCCAGTAATCTTAGCTGCTGAGCCATCTTTTTAGCCTGATATTGACATTATTAAAAAGGAACATATTAACAAGTACAATGTAAATTGAAACATTACAATAGTACTGAAGATAGGCATATCCTTCTAGCTTGCTCTTTTGCTAGCAAAATACCTAAAGGCAGTGTGTGGCACACAGTACAGATGCTGTCAGAGGATGTCAGGTTGGTTTAGTGAATGAATACAATACAAAATATATGAAACTCTAATTTGTATGATGCAGTATATATTTGATATATAATCTGACAATATTTGCATTGCTTGTATATTGGAATAGTTATGTCCATATGCTTCTTAAAGAGCTATTCAGAGAGAAAGGTGGATGGGATACACCAACTCTGAGTCAGGTACCTACTCAGCCAAATGTCTTCAGAGGCACCAAAAATCAACCCACAAAGGAAAGAATAGCTCTAGCTTTACTTGAAGTAGGAAGATATAAGAGAAAGAGTAAAAAAAAAAAGTAAAATCAAAGCAGGTCATAAAGTCTATTACAGTAATAAAGTATAGATCATGTTTTAGGAAACTGCAAGATAGTGTGTCATAAAGCCTCAGTCTGTGGCAGTTATAATGAAGTAAGCATGTTATAAAATGATAAAAGTGTTTTAATCTGATTTAATATTGGACATTGTATTTTAACACAGATTTTGAAATTAAGCTTTTGAGCCCACGTGTCTAGAGATAACTGACAATATTTTGTTGAGTCATATTAACGGATGCTAACATTTAGATTACAGTTTCAGTGATTCGATAAGATTTAATACTTACTGCATAACTCAGTGACTCAGTATTTTGTGTTTCTGATTAGAGCTTAAAGTTCTGAGAGGTCAAGTGGAATTAACGTCTGACTGCATGATTATGAGAAGTTGGCCTTAGGATATGTTAAATCCATTGCTTCTATTTTATGCTCTTATGTATATACAAATTCTCTGTCTAGTAATTCCCTCAACTGAACTGAAGATTTAGCAGATTAGTTAACATTACTTTCAGACATACTTCTTTGTCTCCTCCTTCCTTCATCCTTCCTTTCTTTCTTCCTATCATCTATCTATCTACCTATCTCCATCTCTCTTTCTTTTTCTTTTTTATGCAGACACCCATAAATCACAAAATAGAATCTCAGTGGGTTCATTTTTTTGGTGCAGTATTGACTATTCAATACTCATGAAGACCCTCCCTCCACTTAGTGACTTCTGATCTCTTAAGGGTCATCAAGCAACTAACATTGCCAATATAAATAGCAGGAGAATAATAACAAGACCTTGATGATCTGTATTCTCCAAAAGCTAAGTTTAAGCTAGCTACACAGAAGGACTCATTGTGTTCCCACTCTGTGTGGGAGCCCACAGTGCCCCTAGTCTGTGCCTTTATTCCATCTTGACTCAAGGTCAGAGAATTCAAGCTTGTCTTTGTTCTCTTAGGATGGATAACAGGATGTTTGGCCAAAGGCCAAACCAGATGTCTTACTCTTCAAGATTGGATAACAGGATGTTTTTCCTATCTATTATTTCT